CGTGTCGTAGTGTGTGTGTGTGTGTGTGTGTGTGTGTGTGTGTGTAAATTGTCTCGAGTGACTATATTTTGAATAACCGAGATCAAAGCGATCGCGCGTTATTACGACGGCGGACGAGCCTTTATTCCTTCTCGCACCTTCCTTTGTAAATAAAAGATCCTGGTGTTGTGTTTCATGCTCATTTTTAGTGGAAGAATCGAATTCCGCTCCGGTGATCGCCGGCGCAACAAGTCAGGGCAGTGGAGCAGCGCTGAATGCTGGTAGCCGCTTCCTTGCGATACCCGGCAATCCCGGTAAACCGCTTTTCTGTGCTTGCTTTTCTACTCATACACACCTTCACACTCACGCGAGCCGCATTAATCTGTGTAGTGGAGTTCTACACGTACACGTAGATTAATCTGCCGTAGCAATTATCCAACGCTGTTGACGTACGCGACAAATGAGAAACCGTTGTGAGATGGAAACGGATTGTTATTGGAAAGCGGAAGACTTAACTCTATTTCGCTCGCGAGAAATTACCAAAGAGTCTTTATCGTGCCGCGGAATGATAGCCAATTTGCGAATAGCGCCAGACGTCATTACTCCTCTTGCCATTTCGTGAAATTAATTAGATTCAGACGTAGAAATAAATAACAAAATTAAATTATTAAAAAAATATACTCTGTTATTAATTATTAAATATTTATTAGAAATAATTTAAGTATTTAGATTAAACAATTGCCAGAAGAAATAACAGACACGTTAATTTAAATCATTATTTAACTGTCATAAATTAAAAAGTAATAAATATATTTTTTCAAACGATTTGATTGCTGCAAGAGAGACTATTAAGAGAAGATCAAATTGTAAAAGATGTAAAATTTATATTATCTCAGGCTTCTACGATAAGACGCTATTGGAGAAATTTACAAGGGTTATCTTAGCAAGGGGTTGCTGGAGATTGTCCTTGACATTTGATGCAAAGGTCAAGTGTTACTTTAAGTATGATGGCTTCGATCAAATAAAGTTCATTTAACTCGTTTAATCAAATAAATCGATCGATACCGATTATATAGATTGATATCAGAAAGAATTAGACAATTATCACAAAGATTTAGATTTGATTATAAATAACGATTATAATTAAAGTTATCGCAATTAATCAGTATAATATAATCTTTTAAAAACCATTTATATTTCATAATTAATTTTTTATTTGATTATACCTTATTTTTTATCAGATAATAAAATGATTATTTCGTTAAAAGATATAAAAGATTTAATTGGTTTTTTTAACGAGAATTTGGCAATTTATTTTACAAGATAGCATATTTTATTTACAAAATCGAAGATATAATATAATATTAAACAATAATATTATATTGCAAATTGGATATCGGATTATTACGAAAATTAATATTATTTTATTTTACATATGAAAATCATTGATATTTATGCGCTGTTAAAAATATTTTTAATAAACATTCTTATATTTATTTTACTTAGCTTTTATTTGTGGATATCTGTTTGTAATAAATATTGTACATTTAATTTTACTATTACCACATCTTAATTTAATAAAAATTTATTTTATATATATTTTTGTAGTTTATGTTAGTTCTACTAACATAACGGAAATGAAAGATTTATCTTGAATTTATAAACGAGTTTCGCGCTTGTGAATATAAATCATCAACTTCTTGAAAATTTTCTTCTCGCTTCACTCCGACAACTTTTTGTTATTTTATAAGTGTAGCACTTGAATTGGCTGTGAAAATTTATGAGTTTTCGCAGGGGTGTGATGAACGATTTTGCAATGGAAGATAAAGGCGCGTTTGCCCTTTTTGAATCTGCGATAGTCTGTCTTAAAGAAGAATATACCATTCTAATCACAAAAACGTGCGAATAACATGGAGTATTAAATTCGAGCCGCATGAAATTACAATCCATCTCACGCACGCATCTCGAGGATTAATGACGCATGAGCGAATAAAAGCCGTCGTTTTCCTTATTGCATGCCATTGACAAGGGTTATGACTCAAGTTGCACGTAAAAATGCAGTAGGCAGTAAGCCAGATTTCTTTCAGGCCAAGAACCAGGCAGCAACGGCATGGATCGAAGTCCCAGCAGCGTGTCCATTAGTAGGAATCACAGCTCCTCCGCTTTGGAGAACGGAGATGCCAATCATAGGGTTCGTAACTGCATTACAGTTCAGATTAAATTATTAGAAATCAAATCCTCCGTAATTTAATATATAATTGACGGCTGATGCAATACGATAATTTATCGCGCTTAGATTATTATTAGATTATAATTATTACATATCTTTATGAGTTATCGTGATTACATTAAAAAATTTTAAATTTATGCAACGTATAATATGTCTACATATAATTTAGCTTTGTAAAACGCGAGTTATAATAGTCGACCGATTATTTTCTGATATTAAGATATTTTCTGATATTAATATCGGACAATTGGAAATTGCTTCATTTTCTTAGTGATTTCCTTA